TTGTCTGAGACAGGACTAGCTCCTAGAGAATCCTTTTTTTCTCGCTGACAGGGGAGACCATTTCGGAGACACAGTATCAGCATGCAACACGAGTATGGAAGACTTTTTCTTGCAAAACCATTGGAGATTACGCTCAGTTGTATTTTTGGGTTGACACGATACTACTCGCGACCGTCTTTGAGCGATTTCGTCAACAAACGATGCAGGACTTCGGTCTCGAAGCATGCATGTCCGTATCACTACCCTCCTTGAGCATGGCAGCAGCACTGAAGACCCGTCGTGTCAAGTTAGATCTCGTTACCGAAATAGATCAACACCTAATGTGGGAAGCTGGGATTCGTGGTGGCATGTGCATCGCTCCGAAAAAGTTCAGCAAAGCAAACAATAAAAGCAGGGGGGCAGCATACGATGAGACTCGAGAGAGCTCTTTTATATTAGATTTTGATTGCAACAGTCTGTATGCATTTATCATGTGGAACTTTAAACTTCCGTATGGAGGTTTCCGCTTTCTGAACGAGCAAGAAATTTCAGAGGTGAGGATCGATGAATCTCCGAGGATGAAAAGGGTTACATTCTAGACGTTGATCTGGACTTCCCACTCATTTCAAAAATTGTATTGAGAAAGTGCGAGACACAATCCTCACCAATATGGAACACCTCATTCCAAACATGTCCAAAAAAAGCTATCACTACCAAATCATAGCAAAAGAGTAGATGTTATTGCACTCGACCTGAACTTTCCACCTCATCACATCTCGAGAGAATGCACTCGAAATCGGCATACCCAACCATGGGCAACCGGAGGCATTTTTTCAAAGTATTAAACTCCAATGTGGACTTGTCTGGTTTCGGCATATGAATTGCCGCAGCTGCGTGCGTCAAACACAGGCCCCTATGCTTGTCGTATGAGTTCTTGGAAGGAAGTCCTGCTAGACATCGATCGCAGTAGTGTTCCAAACATTTCTTACGAAAGTGATTCATGAATCCTCTCAAGTTCTTGATCAGAACATAGTGACCTTCGAGTAACAGTAAAAACATCCGCGGTAGGATCTTGCGCGTAGTTGAGACATATATGATGTATACCCTATCTTGTTCCTCTTTCGCCCATTCATAGCCTAGGATCGTGATGGCAAGCCCGTTTCGTTTCTCAAAGTGAGGTACTTGCGTGGGTGAAACGGGAAAAGTGAATCCCTGGACATCGTATTCTGCAAAATACTTCCTAAAACCCTGAACATTTTCATAATGCCTATATTTGGGAGGATGATCAAACATTGCAATGCAATAAAGAATAAATTGCAATAAAGAAAGCACTGATCATCATCGTTATGTGGATTGATGAGGGATTGCATGGACTTGAGCGTATCAGGAAGTTGTATGAATTTGCTGCCTCGAATCGGATTGAAACGGGTCACATCGAGGAATTTTTCGACAATATCATAGATCCAACCGCTCCCGCAATTCTCCGCTTCATCTAGCCTTCGTGTGAGATCCTGAGCGATCTTTTTCACTCTCTCCTCTAGATTGTCATGCACGCCCATAATTCCGATCGGTTCGGTACGGATGTGCATCGTCATTGTTTGCCGACCTTCTAACGTTAGGCGGTGGCAACGGACAGAGAGCACGACTTGCAATTTTATAGCTTGTTTGTCCCAATGTTTAAAATACTTTGAAAGAAAGTCGAGAAGAAGATCGTTCGACTAGATAATACATATTTCAGGATCAGTATCTTCAATATCTACCGGAACATCAAACACGTAATTTTCTACACCGCGATTTGCTGCAGTTTCCGCGAGGGTGAAACGTCTAATGTGTTGTTGAACATCTGAACCTCCGCCAACCGGGTTTTCCGGGTGCAGTCCTGGAAGGTGAACATCACGGATGTGTTGATTGAGGTTGAAGTGATGACGAAATGGTCCGCAGTTGCACTGAGGACAATATTCCGCTCGGTTCTGAAATATCAAGAAAATATAGGAATAATATGTTTCCGCTCTTTCTCTTTAATGCGTAACAGAGATAAGACATCTTACCGTTTCATCAAGAGGAATTTCGTCATAGGCGAACATTTTGTCGTTGATTTGCTCGGCAAAACTCGTGCATGGTTTAGTAGAGGCGAGTTGTCTTTTGGCAGGTGGCGATTCATCGCTGTTCTGCTCTCCTTTATTTTGTCTATGGCATTCACGACTCCCGCCATGACTTTTTGATGTATTTGTCACCGTCGATATCAACAACAAGCATAGGGAATGGTTGTATTTTCACCGACAATGCAAACGCAACAAATGCGGTAGCAGCAGCATCTCGTACCTGGGCGTTCTCGCATTGTCTATTTTCGAGTGAATCATCAGGATGATCTGTCGGAATCCCAGTGTGATGGGCATTGCATAAGGCAATCTCGAGAGCAAATCTTTGATTGTGCGGCGTCACATTTAATGGTGTTGGTGCACAAAGCAAACATAGACGAGAGTGATTTTATTGGTTGTATTTTCGAGAGAAGCGTTTTCCACAATGTGGACATGGATAGACAGGACGTGGTAATGGTCTAAGGTGTGACCCACATGGATTTGTGACCCATCTCAGTTTGACGTGTGACCCACACCTGTTAGAACAGACTAAACTGCTGTTCACTTAAACTGAAACAATGTGAATTTCATTTTCATATATACAAATATATATACAATCAATTTACTCTCAAGGCACTCACTAGAAAGTGTCTTTTAGCGCCTGAATGTAGGCCTCAAACATTCCAGCAGGCGGGTTGAGGCCCCGCCACCAGGCCTCAACGAGGTACCTAGGTAGAAGTTCTGGCGTTGTCCCGTGCATCTTCTTGAGGACCTTCAATTTTAAGTCCACCCACAACCTCTCGATTAATTGGGTGTGGGCGCCAGCGTCGGGGCCAACAAAGTTGGTGCTGTGGTTCACCGTGCGGTGCTCGTATCCGTGAATCCGAATCCCGCCATATGCTGGCCACTCGTCTGAGTGGAGGATACTTCCAATCTCGACCTCCGCAGTGATTATGGTATGCAGCGTTGCTCTGTCATAGCGCTGCACCACAAAGAAGCGACGCTCTATAAGCCATCGGGCGCTTGTGAGCAAGTCCGAATACCCAAGGCCCCTCCATTCGTCGGCCGTAGTTTCGCGCACCAGCTGGCACAGCGTTGGATTCGACTTCCCCGTCACTATCAGTCTCACTTGCCCGTTTCCCCCTGCTTCAACATCACCTTGGAGCAGGCGTCCCCGGTGTGCCTTCTGTCACCCTCGAAGTAATGTTTCATCCATTTGAACGATGGCGCCAACTCCACCCATCCTCGCTCGCCGCTCCCACACTCGTAATGGCACGTCTCGGCACAGGTTGAACCAATCTACGACGGCCTGGTGACTACGTCCGGAGAGCCTCTTTGCGTCAATTTGGGACACGTCGTTGCACCATAAAAAAAAACTAATTCAAGGATGGCGCAAATGGAAAGATTGCTGTGCGCCCTGCCGCAACTATCAAAATAGGTTTAAAAAAAGTTCGTTTGGCCTCCGGACGGACTGCGTGGACCGACATCCACGTCGTTTAAATTTGAACGCTGGGTACGTCGCGATGGTCTCGTCAGGCTGTCGTTTCTGGCGGGTGATGAATTGTGTGTCCCCATCACATCCAGGACGGGTACATTGAGGAGGTACCGCTGGGTCCTGTAATACGCCTTGCGCCTGTAACCAAGCGACAGCACTCTCCTCACTCATGATGAGTGCATAAAACTCGCGAGCAAGCATGGCCTGTTCACAAGAACACGAACAACTTATGTTACCATGAATGGAATCGATATATTCAAGTAAAAAATGAAAACAATAATATGTACTTACTCCAGTGTCTGCACAGGAACAGGTGAAGCAATGCGCGAAAGACAGAATGTGCATGTTGTTTAAGCTATATATCGCCAATTTAGCGCCAATCAGGGACGAGGGTGTGGTGTGTGTCTTTGCAATGATCAGCCTATTAGCAACGAGCTGTAGACACCCAATTAGTTCGAAGCGTGGGCACAGCTGTCCATGCAGCTATACAGTACATCTACATTTTGCAGTGGGTCACACCTTAGATGCATATAGTAGGGGGGTCACACCGTAGACCATAGATACTACGGTGGGTCACACCGTAGACGATTACCCAGGATGCTCTTCCTACGAAACCATCATCCTCTTCATGATCATTATCGTAATCATATGCAAGAAGAATTATTACATGCGTAAAGATGTCACACTATGCCGACCTGGATGTGTGCGTCGAGATGTGTGCGTCGATGACGGTCTCGATCTCCTTTCTTGCTAAATCGCCGCCCGCACTCAGCACATGGCCACTGCTTGCTCTCCTTGATTTGCATGCGCACTCGCGCGAAGAAAGAGAGGGAGTAAGAGGGGGAAAATCAGGAGAGATGATGAGGGTGTCTCCTTCTTTTCTCTCATACCACCAGCTGTTACTGATTTTCCCCCCTCAAGTACATACACACCTTAAATTACTTTTCCAAGCTGAGTCACTCAGCAAGCCCTCGTAGTCTTTCATGCTCTGACTCCGTGAAGTCTCGCATCAGCAATCCGTCTGAGAAATGTATTGAAGCCGGCCTTTTTCTTCACATGTTAGGATGAAGTGAAAACCCTGTTGTATTATCGAGAGGAGAAATCGTGCTTATTTTAATAATGATTCGTTGCTGAATATTAATTCACATTGCTCTTCGTGTCTGCTCGATAGACATTCTTTTGATGATACATTTCCTTCTTTTTCTATTTCAATGAAACGAAATAGATTTTCAATAGAAATGCTTTAATAACAAGATAAAGCATGAATCAAAGTGTGTCGTATATACAGATGAGCATATATCTGATTAGAAAGAAAGTTCTCGGAATTTCTTGAATATCCAGTACAATTTTTTTCCAGAGCATGCTAGAATGTTCTGCGTGTGTTTATAAGTAGGTCGTGTCCTTCGGCATACAACCGTATATTATTACAGCCCTGGTGCTCTCCAGCCATGAACCAGCCCTACCCTCTTACTAAGGAGCAAGTTCGCCTGCTTCTTCTTTATGACTTCCGAATCGAGAAGAAGGCAGCCAATTCCATCGCTGACATCAATACCGCGTTTGGCCCGGACACTGTGTCCAAGAGCACTGCCTATGATTGGTACAGTCGCTTCCAGAAAGGAAATGAAAGCCTGGAAGACCAGCCACGCACCGGT